GTGATGATCGTAAAAGAAAGGATATAACACTTGAAGAGTAGCTCGATGTTATCAACCTCAAAATCACCCTTCTCCCCCATCAAGTTACATTCATATTTTTTCAAGGTAAAGTGTTACATTTACTGTATGATTTCATTATTAGATATGAATGTAACATTTATTTAGACTGTGGTATCCTTTGTGTTAGGCTAACTACTAAATTTTTTCGATTTCGAGTAATCTGCACCTAACCCTATTTTCTCCATAAGCCCTGTTATTTCTATTATAATTTTCTATAACACGATACTTTACATGAACACACTATCTGCTATAGCAGAACTACCTATATATATATATATATATATATATATATATATATATATATATATATATATATATATATATATATATATATATATATATATATATATATATATATATATATATATATATATATATATATATATATATATATATATATATATATATATATATATATATATATATATATATATATATATGCTGATAACCACAAGGAAAGAAGAAAATACGAAGTTCCCAAGCGCTTTCGTGTAATTCATATCTTCAGGGGTGAGTACAGACTGTGTGTTCATACATTCATTATTATTCTGCCCACCATAATAGAGTCAAACAGTCAGTATTTTCATCAATGTTTTTACGTGCTTTGATAATTTGCAGCCCGGAATTCACTGATGAGGAATATAAATATATCTATAATATTGGCTTGAACCTTAAGTACCCTAGATCCTTCATAGACAAATGCCTTAACATTACTAAGAAATCTTTCTATAGAACCGATCCCAAGCCCACCCATGACCATAAGAATCTCTTAGTATTACCATTTCACAAAAATTTCTCTCAAATTCCTGTACAACTAAAAACTTGGAACGTCAATGTGGCATTTAAAAACTCAGGCACTGTTAAACAAATGTTAATCAAGAACTTCCCCAACAATACAGGTGGCTGCATTTATAAGGTTCCTTGCAAGGAATGTAATAGGTTTTACTTAGGCCAGACAGGTAAAGATCTTGTAACTAGACTTAAACAACATAAATATAGTGTTAGGACAGGCCAAGAATCCAATGCTCTGTTTGTTCATTTGAGGGATAATAAGCATTGCATTGACTGGGATAATGCCTCCCCAATATTACTTTGTAATTCAATTGACAGTAGGAACATTATAGAATCTAGTCTCATTAAACATACCGAAGCAGTCAACATGAATTTGAGTAATGGTATGTACAAACTGGACAATTTTGTAATTAAGAAGATTTGTAACCAGGTGAGAAGGTTGGGTCAACTTACACTCTGACCTGACTACCAACCACTGCAGTGCTTTTTAAAGATTAGTAGGGTCATTACCTAATACCTGACCATTGTGGACTTGATCTCACCCTCCTCTGTATATATATATATATATATATATATATATATATATATATATATATATATATATATATATATATATATATATATATATATATATATATATATATATATATATATATATATATATATATATATATATATATATATTTTATGAAGAAAGTTATCAAAATAGGGTATACCTACACCCAAAACTTCACAGCACTTCAAGGTCAACACCTCATTTTCTGAAAATCTTTATTTACTGCTACTGGTATCTCTCGTTTACTGTTAATTCACTTAATATTAATTCAGTTTAGCGATACAAAATTTTTGACACCCTTTCTCATTTAACAATTGGTCAAAACTCAGTTTAGCGATAGTTTGAATCACTGTGATGGGGGAACACCAGGGATGAGGTGGCCTGTGAGATGATGTGTTGGCTTTGTTACATGAAATGAAACTAAAAGTTGTGGGAAAATCATTACAATATTGTACTGTACTCGAATGTGGCTTAGAAATAAAGAAAATATGATATAAAACTATAAGATAAGAAAAATTAAGAGGGTGTGTGTGTGTGTGTGTGTACAGTATGGAACATGAACGAATGTATTGAGGCAGTGACTATAATTGCAGCCATCCTCACTCTTCCCTCTTACATGATTTCACGACATATAGACAGCAGTTACACACATTTTTTGAGTCGGCTAGGTGACTGCCTGGCTGATCTGTGCCACGTGTACAGTATACACTACCAATAAATGTGAGGAATAAATAAAAATACTGTAATACTAATAAATAAAATAAAGTAAAAGTACCTTTACTATGTTGCTATTTGGTCCATCCCCAGATCAGTGTGCTATTCTTGCACACATAAGAAATATGTGTTATCTTTGTTTTTGGCATTATGATATTTTTTGGGCACATTCTGTATGAACGATTGTTTGTGTGTGTGTGTGTGTGCATGCATGTAAAGAAACAAAAACAACTAGTGTACTCAAAATTATCTGTTGAATAATAACCATAAAGTAGATCACAGCTCAGCCTCACCTTGTACTCCCTTGGCACTAAGGCATATATAGTACTATTGTATTGTCAAGTAGATGAACATCCTGACTAGCCATGTATAAAGTTTAGGTGGTTGCACAGGCAGCGGCGGATTTTTTTGGGGGGGGGTCCTGGAAGTCCAGACCCCCTTTTTCATTAGAAAATTTAAATACTTTTTCCTTAATGCAGTATTGTACTCGGGCATTTTTGTAAAGTAAAAGGTAATTACTATTGACCTCAGAGCATCTCCTAATATTAAGTGCACATGGCTTTAAAATGGCCTAAAAAAAATGCCCCATCTCCCCAAACCCCCACAGCTGGGTGGGCTTGCCAAGTTCCACCCCACTTTTTTATATTCCTGGATCCGCCCCTGACAGAATGAGTGGATTTGGAGCTTGTAGTAGGGGAACTGTGTTGATGGATCAAGGTGAGTTTGTGAAAGGATTGTGTTTTGGACTGAAGGAAAAAGTATTTTGCCATTTCGATTTAATAATTTGATTGGTTCTGAGTAAAAGTGTGAGCTGTTAGTGTCTTAGTTTTGTTAGTGTTTTCATTTTCTCTATAGGAGGCTTCTTTGAGTTCAATTGCCCATTGTTAAGAAGGTTTAGTTAGGGAGGAGACCCAGGTTTTCTGTAAGGGTAGAATAGTAATAGTGAGTTCCATATAAAGGTGAAAGTTTATGAATTGTTGTCAGCAGAAGTTAATTTTCCATGGAAACATTTTTCTTGGGTTTGAGAGTAAAATTTCCTTAAACCATAACAATCAGGTAATAGAGTACTCAGCAAATGGTAGTGTTACGGTGTTCCTTATATAAGATGTGGTTGTGTTTTAAGGTGACTGATAACGTATAATAATGGCATGGTTTCAAGGATTCCGACAAAGTAGAAATTGTATTGTTTTAAGGTTCCTTGTTTTATAGAAATCAAGAGGCATTTTAATTTTTTTATTTTTTTTTACAATAGTTCATGTCATAATTCAATGTATACATACAGTAGCTTTAATTTTCACTGTATTGAATGTAAGACAAGAGCACAAGACACTTAAATTCTCCCATTTCCAAATTTTTAAAAATTTTTATTTTTTGCAATATTGTACTGTACTACAATACTTTGGGGGCCTCAGGTAGAAAGCAGGACAGTTTCAAGGTTCCCCATACAATTTAAATGATAATCACATTGTTTTTCTTGCTCAGTGAAAATTAAGGCTTTGGCCCTATTTTATATATTACATGTAAAATACTGTACATACAGTGCTTACATCTATATGATGCTGCAAACATTCTTTATAGGCCACAAAGTTTGATGGAATGAAGACAGTAGTAAAGATGTAGAATTACAGATGAAATATCACTTATAACAAAAACATTACAGTTTTGGCATGATCTTCTTACAGTGCACTGAATACAAGAGCATCTCTTTAAAGATCTATTAATCCTTGAAAAATCATGAGGGTGGTCATACAACGAGTGCATCAGGCATCTGTCACAGGTGAGACTTTATTAAACTAAATGCACACATTGTAGGGTTTTGAATACTGTATAGTGAAGTACAGCTGTGAACAAAAAGAGTTCAGCAGGTAGGGAAGTGGCATATGGGAGGGTAGGGGTGTAGGTGGAGACTTGGCATTGTTGCATTGTGGTGGCAGTGAAAAGTCTCCTTTAAACATTGAACTTTTATGGCATTTTTGTGATTGTTTTGGTGTATTGAGTTACAGTATTTACAGCAGTGTTAGTGTAAGCTTCACCTGTCTCATAATTATACTAGAAAAATATAATTGTGGTGTGAAAAACAAATCACAGACTTTTAACTGCCACCTCTATGCGACACTGTCAAACCTCCACCTACCCCAACCCTCCCATACACCATCTCAACTCAGTTCCTGCCAAGTTCTTTTTGTTCACAACTGTACATACCCTGTATATATCACAATACAATACATATACTATATACTGTACTGTAATGTAATGTACTGTACTGACCAAAAATTTAAAACTACCACAGTGTACAGCCTGTAGCCCACCTTTCTTTTTGTATAGTTTTTTTCTGTGGTATGTCCTCCTACTGTTTGATTTATGTACGGGGCTGTACTTCTTTTTCAGGTATTTCTTCTTAACATAAGTATTGTTTATATGGGTAAATTCCTTAGTTTTTGTTACGTAACTTTGGAAAATTAATGGCTGCCTTCTGTTCAGCACCAGCAGCTTCTCTTGTCACTAATATTATGCAAGCCAGCACAGATCTTATACCTATGAAACCACCCCCAAGTTGCATTAAAAGGGTCAGAATCCCAAGTACTGCCACCTTCCCTTTTACTGAACCAGTTTTCAGAACATCATAAATTCCCCTTGCTCTTTCCTAAATTATAGAAAGACTAAGAGGAGCACTACAGTACATTGAAATTGGTCATCTGTCCATAATTTTAGAGGTCTTTCTTTCTCCTCCATTATGTCACTATGTGTACAAGTTGCAGAAACTTGCTAACTACCTGCACTGCTCATCACGTGTTTCATAATTTTTCTTTATCTTTCCCTGTAGTATTTATTGTTCAATGGGCCAAACCAAGCTTAGTACCAGTAGATGCCATGCTCTCACCCCTCTCAGCTCCCTATGATTGTAATTTTGTCATCAAAAGTAATAAGAGAGCTTTTTCTTAATACTACCTGCTGCAGCAGCTGCTGTTTTACTCTGCATTGTCTTTTTGGTCATGACAAATTTGATCACAATATAACATACACCATAAAGACAACCAGTTGTGATGGCATTCCAAGAGAAACAGCAAAACAAAACAAATGCATTAAGCAAAGATCATATGCGAGTGTGTGGTTTTGTACAGGTTCAGCATATGTACAGTGTACTTATTATGTGGATCTACGCTACATGGCCACTAAATACAAATCTATACAGAACACACTAAGCCTATTCTTCCAATACCAAATGCAACCTTTACACAATAATCACAACAGGTAGTTCAAATGCAGTAAAGTTTAAGAGATCATAATTCTTGTCAGTAATAACTACAGTACAGTACTGTACAGGATTTTGATTAAAAATAAATTTTCAGGATCTTTTAGTGATACGTCTTCATGCCAAGTTAATTAAAATTATAATTCTTGTTTGAATTATCAAGTCTTCAAATATGGACACACACACACACACACACACACACACACATGCATGCACACACTAATAATACAATAATGGAAGCCCCTTGAAATCGAGGATGGCCAGCCCAAAGGCGACCTAGGCGTGAATTTGTTTAAGGTGTAGAAGCTCTCGCCAACATAACCACACCCTGAGTTAATGAGCTGCATAACCAAGTGTCAAGGAATAGTCTTTGAAGACCGGACAACTCGCCAACTGCACTGGCTCACCGTTATCCCGGAATACGATTCACAAATCGATTAACATCCAGGTCCCCAATTACTGCTGGGTAGACAGAGGCAAATGACAAAGAAACTTGCCCATACATACATACTGTACAGTCGGCCAAAGATGCACCTGACACCACCCTGGGTCTCGTGCTCGCAATTTTACCGGGCGATACTTGGTATAGGAAGGCTGTATGTAAAGGTGATTGTGATTGGTGGATTGTTTTTGGCTGTATCACTGTCAGGATAATTATTAAACAAAGCAAAGGCAGAATTTTTATAATAATACAGTGGTCCCTCGGTTAACGAGCACAATCCGTTCCAGCAGGTTGCTCGTTAACCGAAAAACTCGTTAACCAAAACCATTGTTTCAATGGGTTTTTGGGTAATTGGTTCCAGCTCACCGTAAATTGCCTAAATTCAACAAAAAAGGTAGAAAAGTACACTTACTTTGAGGTGTGTATGTAGAAGGCTCCTGGATGATGATGATGATGATGATGGGAATTAGAATGGGGGTGGAGGAGAAGGAAGAAGAGAAGGCATTGGGGTGGAAGAGAAGTCACCCCATGGTGCCATTTCACCCATAAAATTTTAGCTCTCTTGGTGTAATTCAAGATTATTTTCTTTAAATCAACACTGCACTGCATTATATATTGTCAATATGTAAAATATATTTCAAAATGACCAATAATTTGCTTGGAAACAGAAAAAAAGCATTTAGTTGAAGAGAGTCTCAAGCAAGATGTTACCTCCACTGAAAACAGAGAGAGACTAACGCCTGTCTGGTGTGTTAACAGGCTGGATGGCACGCCAGAAACTAGTTTCTTTACCTTCAATTATGTTCAATAATTGTTAAAATGACTAAAAAAGTTAATATTAAACTTTTAAAATTATTGAATAGTATAAACTTCTTGATATTTACTAAAATAGTAAGGAATTAAAGCCCTAAAACCGATTACTGTATTGGCGGACTAATACTACAGCTGGTTGACCGCCAAATGTAAGCTAAAACATGTTGAAGTCGGCTCGTAAAAAACTCGTTAATCGAGGGATTGCTCATTAACCAAAGTTAAGAATCTTATGGAAGGTAAATCGTTAACCGAGGCGCTCGTTAACCGAGGGACCACTGTAAACTTATTCGTTGTTTTTGAAGGTAATGAGAAGTTTCCAAATTTTCGTATTTTTGCTTAAATAATGAAGAAAATTGTATTAATGACTTGGCAACTCAACTACAACCACAGCTGCCACAATATTCTCACTTCAAATTTTCTTCATTATTTAAACAAATATACGACAGACAACAGAACAGTGGAAAGGGAAAGCATAATTCGATATACTGTACTGTGGTGTACATTAATCGGATCTCGAATGTTGGATTTTCTTTTTGGACACATTAACTGGGGTTCAATAGTTATTACAATTATTCTTACACATGTCTAGACATTTTCCCTCGAAAAATTATGAACTACATTTTTTGTCTCAAAATTCTTTACAAACCATTCATTGAAGACAAAAAAATCTACAGTGAACCCTCACTTTACGCGGTCAATTGAACCCACGGCGGCCTGCGTAAAGTGAACATCATAACATATGGGAATAATTGAAATAGAAACCGGGCCGACCCCCAAACTCCACTTTTTCAGACACAATACCTACGTTGTAGTAAAAATAACTTCTTAATTTTATGATGGTCTGCACACACAATTAATAATTAAGAGAAATATCAATAATATTAGGCTTTTTAACACTTACATTAGTAGAAAAGATGGCTGGGTACACAGGGATGGGGGGTTGGTTCTGAGGCAGAGGGCAGATTATTGGCCCTCACCTGTATCACTTGTATCAATTGTATCACTATCCACCACAGAGGCTTGCAGGGCCTCTTTGTCAAACCCCTCAAAGTCCATATAAATCCATATCCTCACTATCATTATTACTGACTTGGGCCGGCTGTGGTGGGTGGCGGGTGAAGAACTCGGTAATGTTTTGATGACTGGGCGACCTTGTGCACACCCTGCTCGCTCCGCTCTCCGCGTAAAAGGGTACACACACCGCGGAAAGTGAGCATTCCGGTTTCGGCAGGGTACCGCGTAAACGTGGAAACGCGTAAAGTGAAACCGCATAAAGCGGGGGTTTACTGTATACTAAATGAGGATAATATCAACGCTTCATCTTGTACCTGACCCCCAAGTGAATGTGATGAAGCTAGACAGACTAGAATAAGTGATAGTGATCCTGTTTACTTGCCAACCAGTAGTATGGATTAAAAAAAAAATAGTAGACTGTTTGAATGTTTTATTTGTAGAAAAATTACTAAAGGTAGCAAGTTGAGAGCTACATTGATGAAAAGCATACACCATGCCATTTTCAAATCACTTATCATATGCTGTGCACAGGCTGATGACACAATTTTCAACAGCTGGCAGAACAAGTCGATGGTTTCACCTGTAGTGTATGGTGGGGCACCATCCTGTATGAACCATGCAAGTCTAAGTTGGTTTGGAGATGGTAGTTGAGCGAGATCAGTGTGGAATCGGTGCACCTGCATGTAGAATTTTGTCTCAAACTACAAAGTCACGATTTTCACTTTTTATTCCTCCGTGAGCACCATACTTGACGTAGGGTCCTTCTGTCTACTTGTTAGAAATGGCATACCACCACTATAACCTGCAAGAGAGAAGGATAGTCCACTTTTTATTTGATTTTTTTTGTAAACACAATGTATATTGTTGCAAAAAATGAGTGAATAGTGATACTACCCAACAAAAGAGATTACAGGCAGAAAAATAAGAGAGGAGGGGGTAGGTGGCAAGCTGATAAGTTCATGATCAACTCATCATGTTGACTTCCAGTACTTTATTCGCTCTTGTGCTGGCCTGGAAAAGGGTGAGCACTGACTACAATCTACAAACTGTACTTCAATAAATTAATCATGAAAGAACAAATTTGTGAAAAGCAAACACATGAACGACATGGTCCTTCTGTACGTTAACTGAGGTTCAATCTTCATCAGCAGTGACATGTTTTTAAAAGTTGTGTCTTGTTTTAACACCCTGCTCTAAATACAACCACATATACATGGATTTGTTTAAGGTAGCTAATGGAATGCTCAACTAATTATGGTTTTGTAATAAATTTGTGATTATTAATATCAACAGTGGGGGAGGAAGTGATCAGCTCTATTGGCCGAGGACTGTGTGTTCTAGTGGGCATCCATAAGAATGATACGCAAGCAGATGTTGATTTCATGTAAGTTCATATCAAGTGATCAATTTCAGTTGACTTTAAGTGAATAGAACTAGAATTACAGTGCAATTTTTTCCACAGCCAGTTCTTGCTTTGATAGTTGAATGTGGGTATGTCACCCTTTCTTACCTTTTTTTTTTTGTCTCAAATATATTCACTTTCCCTCCATTCAATTTGGTGAACTAAGTGTTGGCTTTGGTTATCACTTTTAAGTAAACAATGCCATGATCAGCTTTAGTGCTATGTTGCACATAGAAGGATGTTCCCGAGGCCACTGGACTGCATCAGGTTCACTAGTGCATCAGTACCTGGGTTTGTGGATGGTGAGCGATGGAGGAGGATCTTGCGACCTTGCATTGGTTGTTACTAATGCAGCTCCTGAACATATTTATGACATTACAACCAAAGATCCTGTTACACAGAAATACCTACACATTATGATTAAACTGTGTAAGAGCAAAGTGAAGCAATTTGTTGTAGTTGGGTTCAGAGTTAGAAGTCTGAATGTTGGGACATGCAATGAAGATTAGGTGAGATTGTTGAGACATTGAGCTATAGAAACCTGGATACCTGCTGTTTCCAAGTATCAAGATGGAAAGGAAGATCAGGAAGATTGATTTCCGGTAAGAATGATAGGTACAAAATCTTCTGGAAGGGTAGTGATTCTCGGTGATGTGTTGCAGGGATCTGGAAGGCTGAAAAGTGGGTAGAGAAAGGGCTAGAGGTGAAAGGGATGTGAAAATCTTGGTTTTGAAAATACTGGTAGACAAGGATCTAGTGATTTGCTTCTGCATACACCTCACAGGTTGGCCAAGTGAGAAAGATGAGGAGAAGTTCTAGGATGAGTTGCTGCATGTAGTATTAGATCTTGATGAAAGAGAAATTGTAGCATTGAATTTTAGTTAGTTGTAACATACTTTACTGTCAATTTCAAAGTCCCCAAAACTTATTCTTGTCAATGTAGGCTGTGCAAATATTAATTGCCTGTTATTATGACCTTCGCCATATTTTTCCGTGTCCCATAATATTATTATTGGTTATTACTCAGATTGTGTATCTCACTAATTGGTCTATATTTCATGAAAGTGTCACTATTTAATGTTTTAATGTCAGTGTCATTCCTCACAGTCAAATACTGGACAGAATTTTTGTATTTGAAGTATTTCACTGGATTTTTTAAGGTTAGTTTCATTTTTTTTTTTTTTTTTTACACAGGGATTAGCCCACCCGGGCACAGGTCACTGACCCACATCGGGGCCTGGGGGGCGAAAATGTAATAATAATAATAATAATCATAATAATAATAATAATAATAATAATAATAATAATAAAGAACTGTAAAGAAATACAAAATGAAAAAAAGATCAAGAGTGAGAAACAATATATGTATGATGTGTTGTTAATGGTAAGAGAAACAATTGAGACCCTGCAATTGTGTGTAAATGAGGCAGAAAGTCAGATCAGCAACCTGGGACCTGGTCACAATTTTTGTGATGCCATATGGCAGCAGGGTCTACCATTAGACAATACATTATGCTTCCAATATCTTCCCAGATGGTAGTACTTCCCTGTTTGGTAGCTGCTTACTACCTACTTACACATGTGAACATTGCTTTTAGACATTTGTAGATGGATGTTAATTATTTTAATATGCAGCACATTCCCTTATCCAAAATTAAAAAAAGCATATGCAGTAGAATATTCTCCAGACATTTGTTAAATATTGTTTCCAGAAATGCATCAGTTATTGGCAGAATTATGCTCCTCTTATTAGCTGTCTAAGTTATTGTTTCAACTATATTGGAATTAGAAGAAAAGTGTTATACAGTACAGCATGCCCTTCAAATTTGCGGTCCTCTATTATTCGCGGATGATACCCTGGATGTACCCAAGAATGTCTAAGGGTAGTTTTAAAGTTGCTGGCATTTTCGTGGCCAGAACAGGGAACTATTCATTCTAGAAACAGTAATTTCCTTTACCTGTAGTAAACACATACAAATAAATAATAATGGGAAAATCGTTTCACTTATAATCAGAAACAAATGCATTAAAAATGTTGGGTTTACCCTCAAATTCACTCTATGCTTTATTAATAAAGCCCGGAGTGGACTCGAGAGTAGACTCGACATTTTTTAATACATACCCAGTATACAATACAAGTAAAAAAAATATTGTCCTTAGGGCAAACACATAAAGGGAATATACATTTCTTTGTACATATGTAGAGGTAATTATTTATGACTAACCTGTGGCCGAAATTGGTAGAAAACGATTTTAAAAACCACTGGATTTTCACTTTTTTTTTATAGTGGACACTGTTGTAGTTTGTGCAAATGTGTTAAAAATTTTTAGTACAGTATTTCTAAAATAAACGTAACTTAACCTTTGTGGGTATGAAAAACAGACCTACAGTAACCAACCTAGCCAAATAAACCTACCTAACCTTGCCTAACTTCCTTACCCGGGGGGCTCTTGATATATTAAGCCGATAGAAATTACTATGATATAGTGTAATTTGAGGCTTTTTCTGGACATGAGATGATGCGGTCGCATCGGTGCTTATGCAGCCCAGGCAGTGGAATGATTTATTGTGATGGCTGGAAACGTCGAGCCAGTCACTTGTTTTTCTTCCTGATAATTTTCTTGCTACATTGGAACAAATTTATTTATGGTCTGAAAGTACAGGTTATCTCACAGTGTGGACAGTCTCTATTTCAAGGAACAATGCCGTGGTCTTTGAACAATTGAAGGGTCTCGTTGTCTTTATCCCTAAATTCACAAATTATGTCCATATAAGACTGGCGACAGCCTTCACACGTTACGTATTCTGAAAATGAAACTGCCTCAGGAGCGGGGAAAACATTAGAGTGCGGCTTCATTACCGCCAGAAAGACAAACTAGTGCACACCTAGGCACCTAATTATCTTCAAAATGAAACATTTGCACAAGAAATGATTATTATATCAGAACTCACTAATGAAAATAAAAATGTACACCCCCTCCTGGTCAGCAAATGTTATTCGTGGCCATTTTGAGAACCTAAACCCTGCGAATTTTAAGGGCATGCTGTACTGTAGTAGTTTCCCTTTCACCTGGGGGAAAAAAATCCCCTCTGAAGAGTAAGACTTAAAGTCAGTGTAAGATTATTGGTTGTGAAAATTTTTTAAATGATCACAGCATTCATTTGTGAAGACTGGTAAATTTATGACTGTGACTGTCTTTTCTGACCATTGCATAGATGTCTCTAATAAGTAAAATAATAACTCGCAGAGGGTAAGATATGAAGAAGTGATGTGATGCAATTGATATTGTTACATCGGAATTTAATGTTAATGAATCTTTTTATGTTGATAGAGTTAGGAAGATTCTCAACACCAGACTGTTTGAAGATGGAAATGGAAAACGGTGGCAGCTGGGCGTTAAGGATGCTGGTCTAGAGGTCCTCACTGTGTCTCAGGTAATATTGTTGTCATCTTTCAGTTTTTTTTACGAGGATTAGCACACCCGAGCACAGGTCACAGATCCACATCAGGGCTTGGGGGGTAATAGTAATAATAAATAAAAATAAATAAAGTACAGTCAACCCTCACATTACGCGGTCCCGCATTCCGCGTTTCACCGTTAACGCGGTGCCCTGCTGGAACCTAACATGCTCACATTCCGCGGTGCGTGTACCCCATTACGCGGAGAGCGGCTGGCAAGCCGCGCCATTTTTGGATCCAAACCTCCTGCCATCCGCCATGTTGTGTAAGAGGCGCGAAAATGGTGCGCACAAGGTCGCCCAGTCATCAAAACATTACCAGTTCTTCACCCGCCACCCACTACAGCCGGCCCAAGTCAGTGATAGTGATAATTATAGTGAAGATATGGACTTATATGAACTTTGGGGGGTATGACAAAGAGGCCCTGCAAGCCTCTGTGGTGGATAGTGATACAATTGATACAAGTGATACAGGTGAGGGTCAATAATCTGCCCTCTGCCTCGGAACCAACCGCCCATCCCCGTGTGCCCAGCCATCTTTTCTACTAATGTAAGTGTTAAAAAACCTAATATTATTGATATTTCTCTTAATTATTAATTGTGTGTGCATGCCATCATAAAGTTAAGATAATATTTTTACTACAACATAGTTGTGTGTCGTCAAAAAGTGGAGTTTGGGGGTCGGCCTGGACTCTATTTCAATTAATCCCATATGTTATGTTATTCACTTTACGCGTTCCTCACTTTCCGCGGTACCCTCCGGGTTACATTAACCGCGTAAAGTGAGGGTTAACTGTATAATAAAATAATAATAATAATCACAAATACAAAAATGAAAAAATAAGTCATGAGTGAGAAATGATATACAGTCGACCCTCACTTTACGCGGTCCCACATTCCGCGTTTATGCGGTACCCTGCCGGAACCCGGGATGTTCACATTCCGCGGTGCGTGTACCCCTTTACGCGGGTAAAGTATAATTTTTTTATTTAGCTCATAAAATTCATACAAATTATCCGGCCAGAATATAATTTACATTGCTGGAATTCTTACAATTTGATGATCATTTTGAATATAAGCATCATAGATTTTGCATTAGACATACAAATTTTAGATCTAATTTTGTTTACTCAGAGCAAATATGTTATCTTTTGTGCAAAATATATGAAGTGTATATTCAAAATATTCCTGGTCTTGCAAGGAATCCAGCAATGTCAATTATATTATCCTAACTTTAGTTTGAGGTATTATTTATTACTATACCTTAAAATCTAGTGGTTTTCCTCCAAACATTTCTCAGAGAGGGAAGAGCCAGCAAGTGTAGTGTGAGAAGAGGGGGAGGGAGTTGAGTCCATTATTTGAATGGACATTAACTTGGCGACTGTATTTCTCTATTTCTCTTAAGTATTAATTGTGTGCATGTACCATCATAAAATTAAGATGTTATTTTTACTAGAACATAGGTATTGTGTCGGAAAAAGTGGAGTTTGGGGGTCAGCCGGTCTCTATTTCATTTAATCCCATATGTTATATTGTTCACTTTACGCGTTTCTCACTTTCCGCGGTACCCTGTGGGTTGAATTAACCGCGTAAAGTGAGGGTTCACTGTACTGTATAGTATGTATGTTTTGTTGTCAATAGTAAGAGAAACAATTGAAACCCTGCAATTTTGTGTTAAGGGGCAGAAAGTCAGATCAGCAACCTGGGACTTGGTCAAAATTTTTGTGATGCCATAGGGCAGTAGGATCTACCATTAGACAATACATTATGCTTCCAATATCTTCCCAGGTGGTAGTACCTTCCTGTTTGATAGCTGCCTACTACCTATGTATATTTATAAGGTAAATTTGCATTGTCACACTGTTCTCTGTTAGAAAGTCAAAAATATATTTTTCTAGTGTATTTGTGTGTGTTTAGACCGAATATGACCTTCATTTCTGGCGGAAATTAGCTGGGTTTGTTTTAGATTTTTTTCGTTGGACGTTTTCTGAAAAAAATCATGGCGAAATACACCAAAAAACACTAGAAAACAAAAACCAAACCTAACCTAACTGACTCTCACCATATGATGGAATCACCTATTTCTAATTTTATTGGCCTGATTCTTGTTCGTCGTTGGATTCTGAGATTCTTACACAACGTCACATATGTTGGTCTTTGCGATATTTACGTTCAGTCTTGCTCTTAGTACACTTTACTGAGGTTGGAAGAACACCATGCGATCGAAAAAATGCTACAGTTTCTTCATCTTCCCAAAAACTCGCAATCAGCCCCATATACTTTAAGTGACATTCATCACAGACTGCCATGGTCGGAACTTGAATTTCGAAATATGAGACCCAAAATAAAATTTGAATTTGATTGGGCCAAATATACCGCGAATTAAACCCCAAATCATTTTAATTGGTTTCAAAAACAAAAACGCTTTTGATTGGCCGCGTGACGTGTACGGGAACTCATGCGAAGGAGACACAGGAGACAAGCAGTGTTGGAGGAGAGGCAGACAATAATGGCGGAAGATTAATGGAAGAAAATAGAGAAAATTTTGGATAAGCTATCTCCGTTATACATTTCCCCCCGGTAATGTAATAGATGAAAATTATCTTATAATTAGACGTCTTATTCGAATATGATAATAGATTAGTGGTAGGAATGAACGGTGTGTAAACGCAATAATACCATTTATAATCTGATTTTTTTTGTATTAACTCATCTATATGTGGCACCAAAACAAGGTGGATGTGGCTTGGGTAACCTCAGACTATAGCAGTTGGGGTTAATCGAAGGATAAATTTGCTTTTCAGCAGCAACCATTGGAAAGTTTGTACCAAAGGTTCCCCGATGAGTCTTTGCACTGCCCCTACCTTTACAGTCTGAGTTAAAAACTAGGTTCACTGTACCACACCCTCACTCTGACTGACAACTTTACTGAGGCAATAATGCTGTTACTTTTTATATTTTTTTGTTGCCAATGTTATTTGTAGCTTAGGCTGTAGGTTGTTTGGTTACTACTATGCATAACTAGGTGTTATATATCTGATTACAGGGAGTTTCTGCCCATTTTTATTTTTGCATAAACCAACAACCTATCTGAAGGGTAGCAGTTGTGGTAGAGCTGCTAAATTAAAAAAAAAATAAGTATTGTATAATTTTAACCTTAAAGCATCAACTAGTGTCAAGGGAAGATTGCCACACAGCTTTTAATGATCCACATTTTTATCCTAGGGGAAAAGTTTCGGCAAAGTCAAGTCACTAAACAAAGCGAGTCATTGTGTACATATAAGTAGGTGACACTGATGCATGAATTGGTGATAAAAACAGTTCAGCATTTCATAGTAGAAGTGAGTTATGGGAAGCAGTATGTGAACAGTGACATTTTAATATCTTAGATAAGAGCCAACATGTGACCTGTGTCATTCTAAATGTGATGAGCTGCTCGTGTTGCCTCATCCTACTGAATAGTTTGGAAGTACTCCTTATTTACCAGTTACTAGCAAGAATCACATTCCATCATTTGGTGGGTGAACCCTCCCAGGTTGATGATTTGCCTGGGCAAGCTTGTAAATTATCATGTCATTAACTATGTAATAATGTACATGTACAGTTATCGTTGTCTGATCTGTGTACTGTATAATTATGATGCATCACCAGACAATTGTCCCATATTAAACCATTTTATTTACAATGTAGAGGGACTGGCTTAATGATACACCGTATCTCCTTTGTCTAACATATGTATGACAAATAATAATAATAGAAATGCTACCTGGGGGAGTTTGGTTAGCATTAGGGTATTTAACTATCAGGTGAAATAAGTAGGGACTAATCTTTGTGCGAGCCCAGTAACTGCGTGTGTACAGTATTATGAAAACATATCTTCAATAGAGCCACTGTATTAGATAAATATTTATCCTTTGGAAACAAAATCAGGCATTTCATGGATTCTGATATTAAGCTGTACCTCATTTTATTGGTGAGCGTTGGCCTCATCAACTACACTCTACCACCCATTGCTTATAGTAGGTTTTTAGTTAAGGAAAATTTTTTTGTTGGCTGAATGTACGAAATTGTTCAAAGTTGTGTTGTGGACAATAGAGTGGTATCACTTACACCACTACATATCAAAGTTGTGTTGTGGACTGTAGAGTGGTATCACTTACACCACCCCAGTCAAAAGTGTGCTGGGGATTGTGGCCTGGATCATTCACCACTCCAGTCTGGTGTCTTGGCGGGGTCCCTTAAAGCTGTTTTGTAAGTACTGGGCAAAATCTTCCTAGCTTTGATTAGTTCACCCTAATTAACCCCTTGTGTATGGGCCCCCTCTGTACTGAATAAAATCATCTGCCATTAGCCAAATAAAATACTGTAGTGAATGTAGCAATACCATAGTAAAGAGGTTAAGGACCTATTCTGATTAGTTAATCCAAATTAAGGTTTTTATCCGACTAGTTCACCATATTGAACCCTTAAACTGGGGACAGCATTAATAGACACACGCATTTCCCGCCGAAGCATGTAAATGCCTTTATCATGCATTTAAAATTTTTCGTGCAGAATCCTTCATTTTGTAAATGATATCCATGAAAGTAAATTTCAGTTTTACTGTATTCTTTTTAAGTGTAGAGCTCAAAAATATGTTTAAAGTTTACTCATTGTAAGGTAGCTCTTTGAAAATTGGTTGTGGTTGAAATACTAAGTTTATATTCCTCAGACTTAGTGTTACTGCAGTATGGGTCAATACTTGGCATCTCAATCTGATGCTGCTGCAGCAACGTGCAGGGGTGTCCACTTAATATTTATGTGGGATGGTGAGAGTCCAGGAAGGTAATGAGAATACTTCTGGTGTTGACACCAGACAAAGTACCATCAGTATAATGTGAATATGGATGGTTTAATGTTAGTCATATTTTCAAAAAATTAAATTTGTGGGTGATAAACAATGTACTGTACCATATTCTACAGTATACTGATAGTACTTTACCTTTGGTGTTGACAACATGAAGTATATACTCACCGTTTACAGTCATGGACTCAAAATCCACCCCCCCCCCCTTCCTATATCAACAAGTGGTGTAGGGGAATACCCCAATCTTGAGGATTATGTAAAACAATGAAGAAATTAATTTTTTTTTATTAATCCCATCTACTTATGAAAATGAATGTTCCCCCTATGCCATTCTCATGCTGGTGTTCTCTGTCTGTTTCATGGTAATGGTGTTGAAGCATACAAGACCATAACTATACAAGAGAAGGAACTACGATTATGGATATACAGGAAGACCAAAACTTCAAGGAAGAAACATCCTTCAAAACCTCAGTCTGACATGGATGTGGGGAGAGGGTTGGGGAAGAAAGACCTACACAAGTCGCCCCTTCCCCCCCCTTTATATTGTCCTATAGCCCATTTCTTCCCAGCTGAGAAAAGATGCCCCGCCCCCTCCTCAAAGAGTTACAGCTGACTAGCTGTTGCAAACTTGTCCAATTTTGTCCTGAGTAATGATGTATTTTTAAACGAGCTTATTCATAATGACCGCTTCTGACGAGAAAGATATTTAACTAAATTATATAAAGATATATACATTAATTATTTCAAACATGATCACATAAGAAGTTTATCAGAAATATTATACATGAATTAACTGATAAACTCGGGTAGCAAATTCATGCTTTCGGAGGATGCATTTAATATATTCTTACTTATTTTTACCTACAATAAGAAATTGCATATCAGTAATAGTACATAATGCAAAAACAACATTTTAAAAGATCAGAATCATATTGAAATATTACACGGCCGTCAGCAGAGGCGGGAAATATGACTGCGAACTACTTCATATTTTTCCAGCCTCTGCGAACGGTTGTGTAATATTTCAATATGATTCTGATCTTTTAAAATGTTTTTGCATAATGTACTATTACTGATATGCAATTTGTCTTATTGTAGGTAAAAATAAGTATATATTAAATGCATCCTCCGAAAGCGTGTTCATGTTTGAAGTAATTAATGTATGTATTTTTATACAATTTAGTTAAATATATTTTTTGTCAGAAACAGTCATTATGAATAAGCTCATTTAAAAATACATCATTATTCAGGACAAAACCAGCTGATTGGTAGTTGCAAACCTGTCCAAACAGGTTTGCAACTACCAATCAGCTGTAACTCTTGAGAAGGGGGTGGGGGCATCTTTTCTCAGCTGGGGAGAGAAAAAAAAAACACTATAGTGAGGTATTGGAGGATGTTCTTCCTTGGAGTTGTGATGTTTTGGTCTACATTCATTATCATACTGTACTTTCTTCTCTTTTGTTGTTGTGGTCTAGTACACTTCCACACCATCACCTCATCCTGTGGCCTTCAGTTCTCTTTCCCCTCACCTGTGAGAGACGGCAAAAATTAGATTTATATTGAACAAAACTGTAGGTAAATCAAATAATTTTGCATGGGTCAAAACTAATGTACTTCTGGTGCTAAAACTGTTATTACATATACAACTTTAATATTGCTTCATGGTTTTATTTTCAATTTCAGTTTACTTTATACTGTGAATTAAAGGGGAATAAACCGGATTATCGCCACGCTATGAGTGGTGAGGCGGCACAACAGTTTTATGAAAATTTTGTTGCTCGGCTACAGACACAATACAAAAGTGACAGGATATTTGGTGAGATTCTTCTATGGTTTTATCCTCCTCTGTTAAGAGATAGGATAGAAGGAAAGCCTGAGCTTACATGGAATGATATTTCTAATAAAATGGTATTAACAGCTTGTGAAAATGAGATTGATTAACCATTTATTTTTGCAGATGGAAAGTTTGGAGCAATGATGCAAGTTACAATTCAAAATGATGGACCTGTTACTATCAACATTGATTCTCCTCAAAGAAAAACAGATCAACCAGTTGATAATACACAGGGTTAAGTTTATGAAAGCACGATTAAAAAGTGAGAACTATTAATTGTTATTTATCCTTCAAATGGAATGTAGTGAAAAAATTAGAGTCAATTATTTTAAAGCATTATTTTACCTACCATACTATCTAAATTGAATTCAAACTCCATATGTTGATGCCTCAGCTGCTACCATATGTTTGGCTCTTGTAAATGCTGCCAAAACTGAAGATAATTGTAGTTTTTCTGAAGCACCTGCACACAACCTCACCTCTACATCAGACAGCTGCTCTACAAGGTACACACGCACTTCAACTGGGAAGTCAACTGAGGAAAAAAATTTTGTTTATGACATGAGTGAACCTGAATATCATACAAATGTTTTCACAATAAAAATTTCAAATTGATCTTTAGAGTTAGCTCTAAGAGATACATATTAACACTCTTGGGTTTAGGGAGGAGCTCTCTAGCAAGACGGTCGGGGAAAGTTAGGATACTCACCTCGCCACTCTTGACTGCACCACATGAGAGTAATTGAATGTATTAAGTCATAGCAAACTTGCTTCTTGAAATAAAAAGGTGGGGTTTGTTGCATTAGCATACAGTAATTTTAAATGACTAATTATGATAAAAAATAATTATTTCAATACGTAAGCACGAGTAAAACGCCAAAATTTTGTTTACACTTAATGAAAATGTTTATATCTTCGCTATTTCATGCGATTCTTATATAAACAGCATTATAAAATGTACAAATTTACCAACAAATAGTTATATAAGAAAAGATGTGGAAAAAATTAATCTTTGGCTAGGTTATAGTCCACTCCTCCACCTTTGCCAGCAACATGAGACATGGTTCAAAACTATCACAACACTGTTATCAATAAATGAAATCACTGTGATGAACGGGAAATCAGCACAAGCCAGGAGAAAATGGTGGGAAATGTGGGACAAAGTTACATCCTGTGCTGTTGAACTACAAAATGTGACTGGTGTGGTCACTCATGTAACCTTGGAGGCTTGCATATCTTGTGTTCCTATGCAAACATAAAATTATTTTATTGTAGTTTTTAGTTCATACGCAAACTTGCATATGAAAACCCTAAAGCGATAATTTAGATCATAGGCAAATTTCACATGAAAACTCCCAAGAGTGTTAACAAACAACAGAGCTCCAAAATTATCTCATGTTATAACAAATATAAATTAAATGTACCCGACTTACTTCTATGAACATAGGCATGTAGTTCAGTCAAAATATCTTGCAGGGCAAAACCTTTTGTTATCTTTAATGTGTTTACATCTGTTGCTGTGTTAAGGAATATCAAACTTTAGATCTAAATTAATAATAATTACACAGTAATTAGTTGTTATATAGCATAAATGGGATCAAGAATTAACGTGAAATATCAACCGCAAAAATATACCAAAATATTTCTTTAAGAAATTATATCACCCAACTGGACCCACTGTCAGATCTACTTTGGCAATTAAGTTGTCTCATATGATATATTCATTAATGAAGAAACTTTTTCAAGACTTCTTGGGGTTTGGAATGATAGAAGAAAAACCTAAGGTGTTGGTGGGATCATACTAAATCTAAACCAATCCTCACTGATTTCACTAAAACAAAAAAGGATACTTTTGTAGGCAATGTCAAAGGGTTCATTCAACATCCAATTTATGATGTTTGTGATGTCTGAGCGGAGAGGATGACCCACGCACGTATACACGTTGTCCTCTGTCACCTGAAAGTATACATGTCATAAGGAATTTTTATTTCTTGAATAAAAGATGTCATAGAAATGTCATAACTCAAAGCCTGTCAACTACCGTATATCTCGGCCTATAAGTCGGAATTTGAACCTTAAAAAAATCAGCCCAAAATTAGGGGTCGTCTTAAATACCGGGTATAAAATTCTTACCTCTTACATATTGTGGTTTAGCGTGTCAAGAGTGGTGATGAAGAACATCATAAACTACTCACACGGTCCTACCACTAATTATTTTATACTGAAACTTACGTTTGGGAAGCTGGATTAAAAATAAGATTACTGGTAATTAAAATAATAAAACTATATTACAAACCTGTCTAACATACCGCAAAATAACAATATACCCCGGTAATAAACACAGCTATCATCATGCACCGCCCGCCATTTGCCAGTGACGAGACAAAAAAGGGAAAGTGGCCGCTGTAAGAGGTGGAGATAGGGCTATTTTTAGCCCGTCTTTGTGTCAGAGGTGGTCAGTAATGCATACTGGTATACAGTCATGCACCGGTTAACATCCTAGATACGTTCTTGGAAACGTGACGTTAACCGAAATGGACGTTGTCCGATCATCACATAAACTTTGTATTTATACTTACGTGTATGTGGAATACTATTTAAGTACATATACACTTTTACTCTTAAATCACTATTGTAATGTGATACACAGGTGATTAATTTTTATCTCTTGTGCAAAATACATGACGTTTATATTAAAATTATTCACTGTTTTACAAGGATTCCAGCAACGCTGGGCAGTTGGGGGAGAGGGCGGGAGCGAGCGAGGGGACTTGGGGGGTACCGTATATCTCGGCCTATAAGTCAGCGGGGTGCATAAGACGGCCCCCCAAATTTACATTTAAAAAGTAGCTTTTGAGCTCTATTCGCTGTATAAGACCGGTACCCCAAATGTGACACTTACCCACTGACCCAGTAGTCCTTTAACAACCATCCTTGGTTTTTTAAAATAAGGCCACTTCACTTCAAGTAATGTCATCAAATGTTACCCACTGGTGTAGTGTAAACACTAGTGACGTCACTTAAGCGTCTGCTATTTACCGGTAACTGGAACTAATGTCGGTGTCGAGTGAAATTTTTCCATTTACTTGAAATGGATTTACCGATTTATTTGTTTATTTATTTATTTATAATATACTGTAACATATTAAACACACTGCAAGTATTTTCTTTAATTTATACGCTTGCTTTGCACGAGAGGTGGCGGGACTGTGTTCCGACTGTTTATACAACAGCTACCACCGTATTCTAATTGTGGTGTTTCATTAGGATTGGAGTGAAAAAGATTATGTACTTACTACATACATTTATTATATATATATATATATATATATATATATATATATATATATATATATATACACACACACACACAGTGACCCCTCGGTTAACGAACTCAATCCGTTCCAGAAGGTCGTTCGTTAACCGAAAAGTTCGTTAACCGAAACCATTGTTTCAATGGGTTTTGGGTAATTGGTTCCAGCTCACCGAAAATTTCCTAAATTCAACAAAAATGGTAGAAAAGTTCACTTACTTTGAGGTGTGTATGTAGAAGGCTCCTGGATGATGATGATGATGATGGGATTTAGAATGGGGGTGGAGGAGAAGGAAGAAGAGAAGGCATTGGGGTGGATGAGAAGTCACCCCATGGTGCCATTTCACCCATAAAATTTTAGCTCTCTTGGTGTAATTCAAGATTATTTTCTTTAAATCAACACTGCACTGCATTATATATTGTCAATATGTAAAATATATTTCAAAATGACCAATAATTTGCTTGGAAACAGAAAAAAAGCATTTAGTTGAAGAGAGTCAAGCAAGATGTTACCTCCAGTGAAAACAGAGAGAAACTAACACCTATTTGCTGTGTTAAGAGGCTGGATGCCGCGCATTAAACTAGTCACTTTACCTTCAATTATGTTCAATAATTGTTAAAATGACTAAAAAATTGGATATTAAACTTTTGAAATTATTGAATAGTATAAACTTCTTGATATTTACTAAAATAGTAAGTAATTTAAGCCCTAGAACCGATTAATGTATTGGCGGACTGATACTAAAGCTGGTTGCCCGGTCAGTGCAAGCGAAAACATGTTGAGGTCGGTTCGTAAGAAATTCGTTAACCGAATTTTTGTTCGTTAACCGAATTAAAGATCCTTATGGAAGGCAGTTCGTTAACCGAAATTTCGTTAACCGAGGCGTTCGTTAAATGAGGGGTCATTGTATATGTATGTGTGTATATATATATATATATATATATATATATATATATATATATATATATATATATATATATATATATATATATATATATATATATATATATATATATATATATATATATATATATATATATATATATATATATATATATATGCAAGTAAATCACTGTAGGTGCGCGTGATCTAGGTATATGCTGATAACCACAAGGAAAGAAGAATAGGTAACACTTTTAAGTTCAGTATTTATAGAAAACCAACTAATGCGTGTTCATACATTCATTATTACTCTGCCCACCATAATAAAGTCAAACAGTCAGTATTTTCAACAATGTTTTTACGTGCCTTGAGAATTTGCAGTCCGGAATTCATCAATGAGGAATACAAATATATATATAATATTGGCTCAAACCTTAAATACCCTAGATCTTTCATAGACAAATGCCTAAACATTACTAAGAAAACTTTTTATAGAACTGATCCCAAGCCCACCCATGACCATAAGAATATCTTAATATTACCATTTCACAAAAATTTCTCACACATTCCTTCACAACTAAAAACCTGGAACGTCAATGTGGCATTTAAAAACTCATGCACTGTTAAACAAATGTTAATCAAGAACTCCCCCAACAACACAATTGGTTGCATTTATAAAGTTCCTTGCAAGGAATGTAATATGTTTTACTTAGGCCAGACAGGTAAAGATCTTGCAACTAGAATTAAACAACAAATACAGTGTTAGGACAGGCCAGGAATCCAATGCTCTGTTTGTTCATTTGAGGGATAACAAGCATTGCATTGACTGGGATAATGCCTCCTCAATATTACCATGTAATTCAATTGATAGTAGGAACATTATAGAATCTAGTCTTATTAAACATACCGAAGCATTCAACATGAATTTGAGTAACGGCATGTACAAGCTGGACAATTTTGTAATTAAGAAGATTTGTGACCAGGTGAGAAGCCCGGGTCACCTGACCATCTGACCTGACCACCAACCTTTGTGTGCTATTTAAAGATTAGTAGGGTCATTACCTAATACCTGACCATTGTGGACCTGGTCTCACCCTTCTCTGTATATATACACCTTGATTTGTATTTCTTTCTCTAGTCTGTACTCACCCCTGAAGATGTGAATTACACGAAAGCGCTTGGGAACTTCGTGTTTTCTTCTTTCCTTGTGGTTATCAGCATATATATATATATATATATAATGAGTGGAAATGGTATGAAGCGCTCTGGTAGTGGAAGTGAAGTGAAAAAATGAGAAGAAATGCTATTACTTTTTAATAAAAACTCCAGTGTCAGACTCTTCTTGTGGCCAGTGTTAAAACATTTTTATAAATTAATAAATTTTTTTTTAGTTATAAATGCTTTGATTTGAGACGATTTTATTATTAAAAGTGTTTAAGTGAGTCACATTCCATTACATATTATTTCATCATTTTTGTTCAAGGCCTTTACTTCATGGCTAAAACACCTACTACCCCAAACCCCTTAATTTTCATTGAATCGATGGCTACTATAACATGATTTTTCTGTAACACGATGTTTTTCTGGAAAGCAACTACCACATTATGGGAGAAGTGACTGTACAAGATCTCCTGAATACAAATTTCAAGTGAAAAGAGTGAGAGGAGACTATGAAAAAGAGAGAATGAAATTAGTTAATTAAATTCATGAATGATTTACGTACTTCTTTGAAAGCCATTGCTGTGGACTGTAGTATGTTTAATACTCGCCTCATGTCCCCACCTGAGAGAGACAGTAATGCCTTTCTCCCATCTTCTGAGACAGTGACACTGGAAGGAAATATTTATTATGAAATTACTACAACATAAATTAATATCCCTGCAATTTTTATAAATGCAAAGTTAATAGATCACAGTCTTGTATTAGCCCATGTCAAACAGACAGAAATACTTATATAAATGTGGGTTACATACATACATATATACATGAATAGTCTACGAGCAGTGAGTAGTCATGACTGTACATGTGATGTGTTTTTCCACTGTTCGCCTCGCACCTTAAATATGCAGGTCAGCAATTAAGCAGTCTGCTTATGTCAGTCCGTACCATAAACATTTGTGTGTTACTTCTAGTGCACCTTTAATATGGACTCTACAGAATCTTCATCAGTGTTTACAGCAGGTAAATAAAGGTAACAGCCTAATGCATCAGTTTTATTAAGCAGAAGGCAATTAGCCAACATACTACAAGGTCACCGAAACACTTACCATCATGTTTCACCAAAACCTTTAACAATATGATTTATGCAAAGTTAGTGCATTACCAGCTGCATATTAATAATAAAAAAACAAAAACAAAATAGGGGTAGTGGTGCACAAGTATGTAAATCAATCCAGACATACGATTTCCATTTCCTGAATTTCCATATTAAGTTCTTTCTCTACTTCTGAATATTCTTCACCACCAAACACGGATACCAACTTTCTGGTGGTTAATATCAGGATCTATCTATCTACATCTGTGTGCATGCATGACCCCTCCCCCTGCCTTCAACAGCACAAAACATTGAAGAACTTCTGTCTCCTAGTCACTATTGACACCTTTCAGTTGCAACGGACACTGTCCCACCTACCAATCAAAATAATTTTTGGAAGGTTTAGTTTACAACTTTTTCTATTATTGATATGGTGAGGGTGGAGGGGCGGGAAAACGTAAAACGTGCAAGGGGATCACATCACATGGTGATAGTGTGGTGCCTCCTGATGCATTTCCCAAGAGAAATATTTTTTTTTTTTCACAACTTTTGTTCTATAATTTTTTTCCCTAAATACAGTCTCTCCTCGACTTATGGCATATTCGACTTACGACACCCTTGACATACGACGGCCATGGTCGTATAAAATATTTTTCACATTACGTATTTTCGAGTCCCGACGTTTGGTCGTAATGTGACGCCGTACGATAGCTTGGGCTGGGCCGCCTCATGGTGTACAGCATCTACGTCATAGCCCGCTCAGTTGGTGTTTGGGCGTCGTTGTTGTTAGTGATTGCGCTGTGTACTGACAAAATTTTCGTTTGTAATTCCCTTTAAAATGGCTGGCAAGCGTAAAAGTGAGAGTTCTCATGGTGACGCGAAGAAAATGAAACAGTCAATTACTTTTGAGATGAAAATGAAAATAATAATGCAATATGAAAATGGAAAAAAGGTAGCAACCACTTCACGCAACCTTGGCTTTTCTCACTCGACGATATCAACAATTTTGAAGGACAAGGAACGAATTCGTGAGGTAGTGAAAGGATCAGCACCTATAAAGGGAAACAATAATAATAAAAAACCCAAACAAACAAGGTCCTCTTCATGAGATGGAGTAATTACTTGTGACATGGATGGAAGATCAGCTGCAAAAGCGTGTACCCTTTAGCCTTCTAACCATACAGGCTAAGGCAAGAAGCCTTTTCAAATGCCTGAAAGAACAGGCAGGAGATGAGTACGACCAAAACTTCACAGCAAGTCATGGGTGGTTCCAAAGGTTTAAGAAATGTTACAATTTGCACAGTGTAAAGGTGAGTGGAGAGGCAGCAAGTGCTGATGTGGGTGCTGCTGAAGCTTTTAAGGAGCTAGATCGTGTCATCGTGGAGGGAAATTATTTGCCTGAGCAAATATTTAATGTGGATGAAACTGGCTTATTCTGGAAGCACATGCCAGAACAGACATACTACATCCACAGAGGCGAAAACCATGGCGGGGGTGGGGCATTCAAGGACCGAATCACACTTCTGTTGGGGGGGAGGGGGATGTAGCTGGTTTCTAGGTAAAACCCTTCATGATATACCATTCAGAGAACCCAAGGGCTTTTAAAAATGTCAGCAAGCATACACTGCCAGTGTTTTATCGCAGTAATAAGAAAGCATGGATGACCCTAGCACTGTTTGAGAATTGGTTTTTGAGTTGTTTCATTTCACTAGCCAAGGAGTATTGTCTGCAGCAAGGGGTTGCCTTCAAGATTTTATTAATTTTAGATAATGCTCCGGGACACCCACCACACCTGGACGACCTGTACCCTGATGCTAAGGTAGTCTACCTTCCACCTAACACTACCTCTATCATCCAACCTATGGATCAAGGTGCTATTGCTGATTTTAAAGCGTATTATTTACGTACGACCTTCGCTCAGGCTATTGCTGCTACTGAAGGTCAAAAAACGCTCAAGAGAATTTTGGAAGGACTACAACATTTTGCATTGTACAAAGAACATAGCTGCAGCATGGGATGAGGTTACAGGTCAGTGCATGAATGGAATATGGAAGAAGGTCCTGAAAAGATATGTGAACAGTTTCAAAGGATTTAATGAAGATGAAGCAATTTCTGAGATTAGTAACAAGATAGTGTAGATGGGTGATCATCTGGAGTTAGAAATTGATAATGAAGATGTTGAGCAGTTGGTGGAAAGTGTAGCAGAAGAGCTAAGTAATGAGGATCTTGTTGAACTGGAGGCACAGAAATTTGCAGAGGAAGAAGAGAGACAAACTGTAAAAGAAGAACCTGCACCCCCAAAAAGTTTTCAGTGAAACAAATGGCAGAGGCATTTGCTACTATTAATAAGGGGATGCAAATGTTTGAAGAAATGGATCAAAATGTTGAGCATTTTGCCAAAAGTTGACAGACTGATCCAAGATGCACTTGCTTGCTACAGGGAGATTTACAATGAAAAGAAAAGGCAAACTGTGTAGTCTAAATTGGACATATTTTTTAGGAAGTACCCCACCACTGCTGCCTCTTCACTCCCTAAAGATGATCCAATACCTTCAACAAGCAAGTATGTTAGCCTGTCTGAAGACAGCGACATTGATGACCCACCCAGCCCTGTCTCCTTCTCTGCTTCATCCAATTAATGTAGTTTCCACGCTTAATTAAAAAATTATTGAGGCCCCGTGTGCATTCAGCTGACTACATTAAAGGTAAGTGCACAGTAAAACTGATTCATTTTTCATTATTGATTACTTTTGCTGTACAGTGGTCCCTCGGTTAACGAGCACAATCTGTTCTAGAAGGTTGCTCATTAATCGAAAAACTCGTTAACCAAAACCATTGTTTCAATGGGTTTTTGGGTAATTGGTTCCAGCTCACCGAAAATTGCCTAAATTCAACAAAAAAGGTAGAAAAGTACACTTACTTTGAGGTGTGTATGTAGAAGGCTCCTGGATGATGATGATGATGGGAATTAGAATGGGGGTGGAGAAGAAGGGAGAAGAGAAGGCATTGGGGTGGAAGAGAAGTCACCCCATGGCACCATTACACCCATAAACTTTTAGTTCTCTTGGTGCAATTCAAGATTATTTTCGTTAAATCAACACTGCAATGCATTATATATTGTCAATATGTAAAATAAATTTCAAAATGACCAATAATTTGCTTGCAAAAACAGAAAAAAAGCGTTTAGTTGAAGAGAGTCTCAAGCAAGATGTTACCTCCACGGAAAAGACACAAAGACTGACGCCTGTATGGTGTGTTGAGAGGCTGGATGGCGCGCATAAAACTAGCTTCTTTACCTTCAATTATGTTCAATAATTGTTAAAATGGTTAAAAAATTTAATATTAAACTTTTAAAATTATTGAATAGTATAAACTTCTTCATATTTGTTAAAATGTTAAGGAATTTAAGCCCTAGAACCGATTACTGTATTGGCGGACTAATACTACAGCTGGTGGACCGCCAAATGCAAGCGAAATCATGTTCAGGTTGGCTCGTAAGAAACTCGTTAATCGAGGGATTGCTCGTTAACCGAAGTTAAGAATCTTATGGAAGGTAACTCGTTAACCGAAATCTCGTTAACCAAGGGACCACTGTACTGTATTTCATTTTAGAATTTCTATGTATAATTTTCGTCTTTTCGACTTACGACCTGGTCGTCGGGACGGAACCCCGTCGTGAGTTGAGGAGAGACTGTATGTACGCTTTATAACAAAATGAGGTTCATATTGGATTCACATGAAATAATAAAGGTATAAAGTGATGTATAAACATTTTCATTGTGTAAAATTTTTTTTTGTGTTCTACTCGCACCTATGTATAGAAATAATTATTTTATCGTGATTACATATATAAACCTGTTTGTCGATAATTTATTTACAATGCCAATGCAACAAATCCCATCATTACATACAATTATTTCTTGTGTGGTGCGGTGAGTAACAGGCCAGACCCCTTGTGGGAGAGCATCTACCCAGGCCCAAGAGTGGTAATAGGATAATTAGGTTGATGCTATGGAATCTAACATTATGGGCCACATTTCAAGAATGAAACCCTTACATATACACTAGAACTCATAAATCACTACTGTAATGTTATACAGGTGATTAATTTTTATCCCTTGTGCAAAATATATGATGTTTATATTCAAATTATTTGCTGTCTTGCAAGGATTCCAGCAATGCAAATTATATTCTCCTAACTTTAGTCCGTGATATTATACAAGATAAAAACTATAAGCCTAAAACCACCAAACCCTGGCTGGGAGAGGCAGGGGAGGTGATATGTTTGACAGTTGATGCCAAGGTCTAGTGCTTATTAATTTATCTGTCCTTAAGAGTAACTAAGTTTTTCTCTTATAAATGTCACTGAACTGACATGGGAGAATATAATTAACATTGATGGAATCATTATAAGATAGTGATTAGATTGAATATAAACATTCTATAGTTCACAATAGGCATAAAGATTTTAGTTTTAATTAGTAATTTTATTACAAAGGGCTAAAATTTTGCTCTCTTTTGCAAACTATATGATGTCTGAATTAAAATTATTCGCTGCCTTGCAAGGATTCCAGCAATGCAATTTATATTCTGCTAACTTTAGTCTGTACCATTTTATAAGATTAAAACTTAAAGCCTAAAAACCACAGTCACTCTTACTGGAAGTCAGAGGGGAGTTGATTTATTATGACAGCTGGGCTGGAGCCCAGCTGTCATAATAAATCCCTAGTGGTATTTACATATTTATCTGTCCTTTATAGAGGGAGTTTAAAGTTTTTCTCTTATAAAATGTTAATGAATTGACTTTAGAGAATATAATTAACATGGCTGGAATTATTATAAGATAGTGATTAATTTGAATACATACTGTACACGCTATAGTTCGCAATAGACATACAAAATTTAGTACAATTAGTACATTTTAGTACAAATGACTAAAAAATTTATCTCATGCAAAATATGTTTATATTAAAATTATTTGCTGTCTTGCAAGGATTCCAGCAATGTAATTTATATTCTGCTAACTTTAGACCGTGCCATTTTATGTCAAGCTTAGTCACTTTTATTGGTCTCCAGAACCTAACCATATTTTCCCCATTGATTACATGTGATTATATATCGCCATTTAGTATATAGCGAACATCCTTGGACCCTATCTCGCAATATATCCCGACCCTACTGTACCTGTATTTAGTAAAATCAGGTATAGCACGATTTTTCTGGTTTACACTGCACTATGAAAAAAAAAAAAAGACAGTGAAAGTGATGAAAATGAGTAAAGGAGATGATACGGAGAAATTATATTAGACTGAATAAAAACAAATTTGGGGCAGTGGAGTTTTTCAGATATTTGGATGGATGAATGATGAACATTAAGAGGAGTGGAAGGAAAGAAACAGGTGGACCAAAAAATAAATAAATAAATAAATATATATATATATATATATATATATATATATATATATATATATATATATATATATATATATATATATATATATATATATATATATATATATATATATATATATATATATAAGAAACAAAGAGTCAACATATAGATTAACTATAGATCTGGTAATGTTTGAGCTGGACTTGTAAACATTCTTGTGACCTGATGTTGGCTCCTACTGTCTGGATGGCCGTTGTGTCATACCTGGGTGTTAATCCGCTACCTCACTACAGCTGCAGGTGCACCACGTGGTCTGGGTAGGTCCTCCAGCTCAAACAGGGTGTTGGAGAAGGTTCTTATTCCTCATGTGATGAAGTTAGGAATTCATAGTTCCTCAACTGGGTGGAGTAGGGAGTCATCATTTCTCTCCTGATGTAGTTGGAGTCATCATTTCTCTCCTGATGTAGTTAGGAGTCTTTCTTTCCTTCTCATCCAGTGTTGGTGGTGGTGAGTGTACGGTGGACAGGGTGTGTCTGGTCCAGTCAGATCAACATTGACCGCTAAGCACTGTTTGTTGCTCTAACAGTTGTCTCTTTCTTTCGAGTTGAAATTGTCACTTTTGTATATCACTTGTGGGTTGATGGTCAACCTTTGCACTGTACTGTTGGTGGGAGGATGTTGATAAATCCAGATGGGGAGGAGGAAATGGGGAAAGGGAGTGCCCGACAAACCAGGATGGCAGCTGTCTCCATGGTCAAGATAAAATAAATAAATAACTGATAGGGTGAAGGATGCATAAGAAGTGGGAGGGATGGACATTAACATGCAGATAGCATGGCATCAAGTATGGAAGAGATGTTCTGGTGATACTGGCTTCTGTAATAACAAAGGGGTACAACAGATTTTAAGCCTTGATGTGGGTGAGGAATACCATAGCAAAACACATTCTACAGCTGTGTGAACTAATGCATAACAATAAATGAAGGGGAACTGTGTACATATGTAATAGATGGCTGTAAACAAGGGGGTGTCGAGACTGTATTAATACAGCACTTGCCTCTCCAACGGTTGTTGGTTCAATCCCAGGGTAACTCCGGTCCGCCACCAAACTATTAAAGGTTACTTAACTTTACAGTTGGGGAAGTGAAGGTGGTTAAATGTAGTATTGGCCATGTTGCTTCCTTGTGTACTGAAGGATTAAAAACAAACACACAAACTTACTTCCTTACTTTCACTCTGGCACAAAATTACATACAATTAAACTTAAAGCACCATATACAAGTTGAACATCAAGTCATAAATAAAAACTTACTTTTCCCGATCAATAACGTAGTTGAGACGGGGAAGAATCTGGTCTGATGCCAGTGGCCCAAATCGGAATCGTGTGCACCGAGACTGTATGGCTGGGATGATCTTACTCAGGTAATTGCAGATGAGACAAAAGCGTACATTGTCTGTAAACTTTTCAATTACTGAAAAATAGAAACATTAAATTTAAGGATTAATATAACTAAAAACTATGCCCATATTATGTAAACATACTGATAATGTTCTAGCGTATTATGTCAGTTGCAGTACATTTTTAATATATAACAAACATCAGAACACTTTTATTTAACAAGTGTAAGTAGTATTGCATTTGAATTTTAAAGATATGATTGTCAAACAAGTCATGAAGTGAGTTCAGGAATTTTCAGTTGGGGGTGAACTAAAGGAGGTGGTTGGGAACTTGCATGCCCATGATCATACATAAAAATTTCAGCAGCCAGGATTATCCTTAAAATCTATACCAGAGTCCTAAAGGGTAATCAATATGTTAGGGTACTCCAAATAGAGGAGGCCAAGTGAATTTTGCTACCAATCATAAACACTTATGCTCTGAACTGCTCTTATTTAATATCAGTTGATGTCAAAAGGATCATTTGAAATTCACCTCATCCCAGCACATTAAAGGAAGTAAGAAGGGATAGTAAGCTACTTGATTCCAACTAATTTATAAATTGGATCTCAGGATTAATCCACTATTGATCATTACAGTAAAGCCTCGAATAACGACGGTAATGTGTCCTCCAATATTGCAGTGTAAGGTGAATCATCTTATCGTTAATCATTAATTACCATTAAAATAAAGCAATAATAATGAGATGCGTTCCCAAGTGTGACCTTTTCATATCTTTTGTGTGGCTTTTTACCCTCTTTTCCCCCAAAACAATAAAATTACTGAAAAAATGCAAACTACTGCACATTATTTAAATACAGTCATGCGCCAGTTTATGTCCTATATACGTTTGTGGAAACGTGACGTTAACCGAAATGGACGTTGTCCGATCATCACAAACTTTTTATTTTTATTTACGTGTATGTGGAATACTATATACGTACCTAAACACTTTTACTCTTAAATCACTACTGTAATGTGATACAGGTGATTAATTTTTATCTCTTGTGCAAAATACATGACGTTTATATTAAAATTATTCTGTTTTACAAGGATTCCAGCAACGCCGAGCAGATGGGGGAGAGAGAGGGTGGGAGGGAGCGAGGGGGCGTGGAGGGACGGGAGGTAGTACGTTTGACAGTTGGTACAGGCCCAGGTCTAATGCGTGTATATTTATCAGTTCTTAGGTGACTAAGCTTCTCTCATATAAAAAGCCAGTGAAATGATCTGGGTGAATATAATTAACATTGCTGGAATTCTTGTAACATACTGATTAATTTGAATATAAACATGCGATAATTTGCATTAGACAAAACAATTTTAGTACCGTAATCAAATTAGTACATGTGCACTCCAGCTTTGAACTAAGGTCATTTATTTATTTTACGTTTCTTTCAGTATGGTGTGTGCATGTAAATGGATGAAAATAAATGAAGAAATCTATGTAAATCTACCCAAAAATACAGTTGAAAAACTTTATATTATAAAATGTACTACAGTACTGTACACTAATGTACAACAATTTTTATCTCTTGAGCAAAATGTATGACGTTTATATTCAAATTATTGGCTATCTTGCAAGGACAAAATATAATCTCCTAACTTTAGTCTGAGATATTATATAAGATAAAAACTGTAAGCCTAAAAGTCTGGCTGGGGGGGGGGAGGGGACTGACGGAAACAGCCATGCCACCCAGCGAGGGGTTGGGGTTGAGGTGACAAGTTTGAAGCGAAGGTCTCTGTGCGTTTATTTAACAGTCCTACTAAGCTTCTCTCATTTTAAAATGCCAGTGATATGACCTAGGAGAATATAATTAACATAGCTGGGATTCTTGTAAGATACTGATTTATTTGAATATAAACATGTAATTCGCACTAGACATAACAATTTTAGTACCGTAATCAAATTAGTACATGTGCACTCCAGCTTTGCACTAAGGTCATTTATTTCTTTTATGTTTCTTTCAGTATGGTGTGTGCATGTAAATGGATGAAAATAAATGAAGAAATTTATGTAAATCTACCCAAAAATACAGTTGAAAAACTTTTTAATAAAATGTACTACAGTATTGTACACTAATGTACTACATTTTTTATATCTTGAGCAAAATATATGACGTTTATATTCAAATTAATCTCTGTCTTGCATGGATTTCAGCAATGCAAATTATATTATCCTAATTTTAGTCTGAGATATTATATAAAATAAACAAAGAAATCACCAGGGTGGGAAGAGGGGGCGGGGGGTGAGGGACAGAATGTCTGGCGTTTGTTTGTTTATTTATTTGAGATAAGATTTGACAGTTGGCGCTGAAGGCCTGCCTGAGTGTTTATTTATCATTACTTAAGAGTGACTAAGCTCTTCTCATAATTTGCCACCCAAATGACCTGGGTGAATATAACTTACATTGGAGGGATTCTTTGAATACCTGTATAAACAAGCTATATTTGCAATAGACAACAATTTTAGTACCGTAATCATTTAGTACATGTACAATACAGGTTTGCACTTAGGTCCATTGTTAGTCTACAATATTGACTAAAATTCACTAGATAACGTACGCCTGGCCGCACAATCTATAAGAATACGCAATGCATACGTGACTGTGCTCGCTCTAGGTCCATTTCGGTTGGCTAGGTCCCATTATTTGAATGTTTTTTTTCAATTTAAATTTTAATTGTTTATTCCTTGTTAGAGGAAGCGGGATCCTAGTGCTGTCACTTGGTACCCCTGTACCATAACACCAGAAGCAACTGGCTAGTGTCATAAGTATATACAGTACAGTACAGACATCCCTTGGTTATCGCGCCTAATTGGGACACCGTCGATAACGAAAGTACAGAACCTATGGGATTTATTCTAATTGGTTCAGGCACCCAAGACCCAACCCCAAGTTTCCCATTTTACGACCATTTAGACTCACTAAATATATATATATATAATGTTATGGTAAATATCATAAACACTCATAGGCATGGCTAGGTTTATTACAAAGTGATGAAAAGGGTACGCTTAATACTGTAGTCCACAAAACATGTAGCTATGCTTTTTTTATTTGGTCCCCCGTCATACGAGTCCGTTTTCTCTCACATCAGGACGCCCGAGTCCTCCGTTTTCTCTCTTAATCTTAGAGTGCACCAGAAACTTTACTATTTTTAGTAATGCCACAGAATTTGAAATTGCAACTGGGGTTGCAATTGTTGAGGCAACTAGATATGTCTGATTACAGCAAATGTGTTATTGTCAATTTGTAGGTGAAAGATTTTATCCTCAATAGATGTAGGTTAACATTTCACCTGTAGGCAAATGCTTAAAAAAAGCCTAAGTAAGGAAGCATATTCTTTTAACACATAATATCTGACCAGTATGGGGAGGATCATCGTGTCTCCGTCAGGGGGTCGTGGAGTGCTGGTCCAGCAGGCGTCACTTTTTTGGGGGGGGGCCATGGACGTATATGCGATCGGACGTTGTTCGGTTGGACGTTAACCGGCGCATGACTGTATATATATATATATATATATATATAATATATATATATATATATATATATATATATATATATATATATATATATATATATATATATATATATATATATATATATATATATATATATATATATATATATATATATATGTGTGTGTGTGTGTGTGTGTTTTAATTAATATTATTTAATGTTAATAAATGGAACAATACAAGTAGCTAACCAGTAAGGGGAAAGAAAAAGGGGAGATGGATTGGGAACACCAAACTATACACACGCATTTAAGGAAACAGCTCATTTATCTTAAGAAAACAGTGGTCCCTCGCTTAACGAACACAATTCGTTCCACAGTCGTTCGTTAACCGAATCTATTATTTTAATGGGATTGGGTACAACTCAACGAAAAAGTACATACAAAGTACTGTATACCAGTAGTAGAATTAGCAAAACATTAAATATAAACTAAATACAGTACTGTACTGTACAGTATACTCTATAATAATAAATGAAAAACAATAGAATACTGTATTTTAACTTAGTTTGAGGTGTGCATGTCGTATTACCGGCAGCCTTGTTTACATATCAAACAGCTGATTGTGGAGGCACTCTTTACAGAGTGCATTGGTTCTAATGCCTTCTTCATGTTTCATAATAATTTCTGCACTGTATACTGTATTATCAATATGTTAACTAAATTTCAGAAGGAACAATAATTTTAATGTAAAAATGCAAAAATAATCAAGAGACCAACAAAATCAATGTTCACTCCACTGTAAACAAAGTTAAACTGAGAAGATTTGTTGGTGATTCAATCAGCTGATAGGCGCACAAAAACTGTTCCCTGTACTGTTTATATTATCAATATGTTAACTAAATTTCAGAGTGACCAATAATTTTAATATAAAAAATGCATAAATATTCAAGATACCAACTTTCTTGATATTTACTTCACTGGAAACGAATGTAAACATAGAACCAATTACTGTATTGGCGGACTAGCCGATCAACTGATGCGCACAACAAGGCGTGTTTGTTGTTAGGATTTCGTAAATCTAAGTTTTTTTCGTTAATCGAACTGAAAATCCTTATGGGAGCTAATTCGTTAACCAAAATTTCGTTAATCGAACCGTTTGTTAACCGAGGGACCACTGTACAGTATGTACAAAAGATTAATTTTTTTTTATTACTGAATATGTATTTGGTTGAATTAATCTTTATATATGCAAAATTAACAATAAATTCATTAATAATACGTAGAATATTAAAACACACAAGAGGATAAGAGACGGCATTGTTGTCAGTGTTTACACCCATAATGTCAGTTATCCACCTGAAACTGAAGGAAATGAGACCCTATTTTTATTGTAGTAAAATTAATGTAAAAAATATGTATGTTTTAATTAATGTTATTTAATGTACAGTAGAAGTAACCACTGATATTAAAGAAAAAAATGAGGCTGATAGTGGAATTGCAATGTATACAGTACGTGCACACTCAAGGAAACAGTCATTTATCTTAAGAATATATACAAAAGATTCATTATTGTTT